AATTGATGTGTTCAACAGCCCTATCATTTTCTTTCCACTTGATCTAACATTCCTAACTCACCAAATCTTGAAATCAGTGGTGATCTAATTTTCTATCCTAGTTTATTATTCCCTCAATAATATTATAGTACTAAGACAAATAGTTCCTAAAACATAACCAGTAACAAATAATAAACAAAAATAGCCATAAAAGCAATGAACCTCTTTTTAAAATGCCATTACCCTAAAGACACCATTTGCTTTATGTTGCCTATTTTCAGTTGTTCAAAACAGGATACCTTGAGTAGTAGGGCTGTGATGCAAAGATTGCAAATTAAATCCCAGGTTTGTGTAGGTAAATAGGGTTTAATGAAGAATCTTTATGACATGATGGATTATCTTAGGTGCTCAGGTACTGAGGAACTAATTCCTGTGTGAAAAAATCTATCAGACTACAGTCTTGTGTTTCTTCTTAGAAATATTTTTTAGTTTTAACATTAAAAAGATTATGAAATATGTTTTCCAGTTAGTCTGGCGATATAATTTCTAGTTCCCGATTTGTTATTATTTTGAGTCCTTTCTTTTGGGGGGGCAAAAAACCCAAGCAGGTCCACTCTGTAAGTAAAAGAAGGAAGAAAAGTCTAGTGAATATATATTTGGTAATATCCCTGGGGAGTCACTTGTGTAGGTGCGATACAAATGGAAAAAAACAGCTCTCCAGAGAGCAGCATGTAGAAAGGAACAAAGCGAAACCTTTTTGCCGGGCTGAGGGTTTTGCTGCTGGCTTCTTGGCTGCACGGTGGCATTGTTCGGAGGAAGTGCACCTGCTCTAACATTTTCTTCAGCTGGAAGCAGACAGGTCTGTTGAATGCTCTAATTGCTGGTAGGCATGAAAGGATTGCCTAGAAGATTGCTTCCTAGGCTGTCCTTTGATGTTTCATATGATTTGGAAGCGAAGATTTCTTTTCCTTTATCCATCCTGCTAATAGGTGAGAATAAAATATCTCCTCTCAGCTTTCATTCCAGAAGGTATCATGGCACATTCTGTCCGATTAGCTGTATCACGGGCCAAAAGACTCCTTTTATCTTTTGAAAAGATTTGTAAAACACAAGCATAGTCATCACAGTCTACATTCATAAAGCACTATTAGCAACGTGTTCAGTTCATTGCAGGGGTCTCTGGGCAGGAGGAATACTCTGCTGTGAGCACGAGGTTTGTCAAATGCTGTAAAACTGTGGCTAGGAATTTTGGATGCAGTCCTTGTAATACATATTATGCATCTTTGACTGCAATTAGAACAGGTTCTTTGTTTAACTGTAGTTATATTAATTTATAAACCCAATAATTCTAATACAAAATCCAAGTTTTGCCTTGTTTTTCTGCAAAATTTGAATAGCAGAGAACTGCACTGAGGCTTGATATTTTGAAGATCCTCCTTTTACAAATAAATATAAGGCATGACTAGTGCACTGTGAAGTATTGTAATAAATTTAAACTATAATTATAGGTATAAATGATATGAGATATATTTGAACTGTTTGCTGAAATTTGCAAATTAATAGAGTAATAAAAAATCTATAAGTTAAATAGTAAGTTTTTACTTAATTCTCTTAATAAGAAATGCCTAGCTAAAAGAAAATATGATGCATTACTTTAACCCATGTAAACCATCACTAACACTTTCCTCTTGAGAAAGTGGACTATTGCCAACATACTTGGAAGTACCAGAATACTTAAAAATATGTAGCTTTTCTCAGTAGAACAATCTTCCTCGATTTAATTGCGTTTAGCTCTCCTCTACAATACAGAATTCAGATTCAGATCCACCACTTCCAAAGTTCAGGAGTGCATAGGGTGTGCATTTTGAATCAGAGCCTATTTTGCTTCCTAATGAAGAGTTGAGAATTACTGTTATGTCTGTTAAATATGACTCAGAAATATATTGTCTGAAGTTTTTAAAGATAAATATTGGTTTAAGCTTTATTGGAAATTAAGAAGAGCATGGTTCTTGAATCAGTTGTAAAATTTGGGAGAAAACCTTCAATGTATCTTCTGAAACTTAGAGATCTATATGCAATTTTTATATTATGATTTACTGAATTATGAATACAGGTTTTTGGTTTTTTTTTTTAACAATTGCACCCTCTTTTTTCAAACTGTCTGTTTTGTTATTCAATTTTTGGAATGCTAAGACATGTCGGTCTTGAGCTTAATAGCTACCTTTTGAGTAAACTGGTTACAGTGCCAGTGGCCAAGGCACTGTAAACTTCTTACAGTGCATTTACAGTTAAACTTCTGTTGCATTTTGTCATGGTCACTGTAAGTTACACCTGCTTCCCAGCTTTCTCTTCTGAGGACAAAGAATATGTATTTTGTCTTGTGGTGTAAGCAAGGAGTGTATTTCCATGTCTACAACTGTGGCCTCCAATTTTCATTTTGCTGTGACACAATACACTGTTTTAAAGAGCATGTCTGGAACTGTATTTACTTGGCCAAGAGGTCAGTCTGTTTTATTTTTTTATCTGTGGAACCAAGTGTTTATCAGGTTTCTGTATGAATCATGCAGCGAGTTAGGGAACATTTTGCACTGGTGTTTAATTTTAGATGTCTTTATTATAAAGATTTGATGTGTTAAATTTTGCAAAGGTATTTTAGGTCCAGGAAGAGTGTTTTTTTTCCCCAGAATGTCCAACTTTAACATTCATATCTTTGTACATATAACTCTGTGTGAGCATATATCTACCTATATAAAATCCACTAATTCTGATGTTATAGTTAACTAAGTAAATGTGAATATTCTGGTGTATTTCAGGTGCTTGGAGGCAGGGTTGCTAATACGCTTACCCTTAGAATGTAAATACTTCCAGAGAATAAAATCTAGGTGATTGTATATTCATGTCTCAATGGGTGGGGAGAAGGTTGAGCATTCAGTTTACCTCCCTGTTCACCCAACAGCAGAAATGAGGCAATTGTGAGACTCAGGCTGGTACAGTCAAACGAATAATCTCTTCAAAGTTGAACAGGAAAGGATTGCCTATCAGAGACACAGATCCTTTGGTTTCATTCACTACTAGTCATTCCCTACTTAGTCCTATAAATGCAGAGAGGACTACTGCCAAAAAAATTCTTGATGTTGACCCATACAATGCCTTCATTTGAAAGTGGCCTTCTCAGCATTGCTCTCCAAGTCACTGTCTTAAGAGTTCTATGTAAGCCATCTAGAAATAATCAGGTGACTCATTCATTTTGATGTGGCTGTGGGTTTTGTGGTCATATACAGGGAGAAGCAGAGTATACTTGGACATATCCCTGCAGGCAATTTTGCAGACATTGCTTTGATAGGGACCAGCTCTTACTGGACTGTTTTCTTAGGTTTATTCTAATTTAGCCTAGTGAAAAAAGGCATAGAATAACCACAAGTTTTGTATCGGGTAGACATAGAATTATGTCTGGTTTTTTTCTTCTTGGTGGGTATCGGTGACATCACTTAAATGTGTCTCTGCATGCTATCCATTTTGTATGAAGTGTTCAGAACTGCAGCAGAAATTGTACTTTAAAAAAGGTGAAGGAAATTAAATGTATGAGATTAGACTTATATAATTTTGAGAGTTTGGTTTATGCAGACAAAACTCCAGGAAATTCAAAGCTTAGACTGAGCTGTAGTCCATCAATCAAACTGTTGTGAAAGAATAATGCTAGTAATCATAAAAACACAAAAATTGTGAGATATAAGAAGAGTGCAGGTCTTACTGATCCTGACCTGTAACTGTATTCTAAATGAATGTTTTTGTATTTAATTTCCTGAAGAAAGTATTAAGGGTGATGAATAGGGGAGGAAAATATTTCATGGAAGTTTAGTTAATTGATGGGGCATCTTTCAAAGCCAAAATAGTTCAACACCCTACAGATTTGACTACTCTCAAAAGCTGAATGGTATAATTACATATTGTATTCTACAATGTCTCATTTTAATCTTGTACTGTTGTTTGTAAAAATATATACAAATATTTTTAAAGGAGAACTTATAAAAGCAGTCTTTTTATTTCTGTGAAATCAGTGAAATACTTCAGTTGTTTTTGACAGTCACGGGGACTAGAAGCTAATATACTGATATACTACAGTGTTACTACATATGCGCACCCAAGTCACAGTATGGCTAATTGCCAGCTTAAAAGCAGGTAGTTTACAAATATAATTATGTTCTTGGTGAGGAACAAAGTATCTTTCATTCCTTATGAAACTCTGAAAGAAAAAGATTAAGATCAAATGTAATGAACTCAGTCACTTTGTATTTGAAAGAGAGAAAGATTCTGGAATGAATCGGTGTTGCCTTGAAAGGGATTAGATTTTTTTCTGATATGTCAATTGATCTGTGGGTTAAGCAAGCCACAGGAGCTGATGTTATAAAATTCCAAAGGAGCTTAAAAAAATGCTTCAAAACAAGAAGGTATTTTTGGGAAACTTTTTTACTACCATCAGTCAAACAAATCTTAATAACATTTTAGGTGTCGTATTCGGTATTTCATTTATAATGCTCTTCTGAATATATTCTATGTTAAACATAACACTGTTCAGTTCTACAATTAAAGCATATAGGGAAGGTTGCAATTGGTAGACCAGTTAAGAAAGAAAACTTTAGTCTCCGACCTTGATGTGTCATTCGGTAACAGCCTGGAGAAATTGCTTAATTCTTGTGATCGGGAGTGTTGTGAAGGAGACTTGTGTACCAGCATGCTCCAGAAAAGTTTAGGATACAAAGTATGTCTTTATTTAATGGATGTTACATAATTTTCCATGCAGTTGGCAAATTTGATTGTATCAGTTTAACTCTCATTATGAGCCGCTCCAAACAGAATAGGAGAGGAGGTAATTATTATAGTGGAGAAAAAGAGGAAATTTAATAAATATTCATAATGTATGTGAAATTTTGTTTTTATCCTAATCTATTATTTTTAACTACCTTCCACATTGTTCTTTTCCTGATAGTCTATTTCTTTTTTTTGTCTCACTTTCTGTGTAGGACTGGCTCATCATATCTGTAATCTCCTAATAGAAACTGTAGCTCTGTACTTGGAGGCAGATGATAAAAGCAGCACCAAGACAGAAAATGCACTGCTTCTGTCCTTGCTTGACATTTTGCACTGCATGCTGATGTATACAGCAAACATTGTGCGCCAGACATTACAGGTATGGAATTTATTTGCTGGGGTCATCACCATCTTAAACAACTTTTTAGATAACTTCTTGTTATCCTAAATAATGAAATGCCCACTATTCTGGTTTTATTGATTTTTTTTTTTTTTTTTTTAGGGTGATGCAAAGAGAAAAGCACGTATTTTTCAACTTCATGTTACTATTTCATGTAGTTACCTGGCTAGACTATATATACTAGCCTCACTGTGTGCTGGAAACACAGATCGCAGTTGACTGTTTTATTTCTGTACTCCATAAATGGCTTAATTCAACATTTGCTTGATGATAGTTCAAAGCATTTTTCTTCCATTCATTTTAAAAGAAGAAAGATTATTCCATAAAAAACATCATCTTTTTATTATAAATCACATGTGATTACTATACACGAAGAGCATATGTAACCTTTGCATGTGCACCGACAAAAGCATTTCCTCTCTTATGCTGCTCAATTTGCCTTCCAAGTTCCTGTTTGAACCCCTGCAAATCACAGCATTGGTAGGACTTCCTCCTCCAATGAAGATGTTCTCCTCCTTGCTCCTGTGCTCACTTAACCAAATGAAAATCCTCAGGTATTATACTTGGATAATGGTTTTAGGATTGAGCTTTAAATGAAACAGAATACAAAATGATTTTTAAATGTGTTCTTTAGACAAAATGTTTACGTTTTTCTCTAGCAGTTTGACTGTATAGGGTCATGGTCCAAAGCTGGTGCAAGATAATGAAGTTAAATGAAAAATCTTGCAAGCAGACCCTTCTGGTGTCCTGGGGCAGGGATGGGTCATAAATAGCACTGCCTAGGATGGCAGTGTGTTTTGATGAGGAGGGATGACAATGGTCAGAATTACAAGTAGTAATAGATCTTATCACAGACTTTGGTGACTTGAAGATTTTATTATTCCTATTTCAAAAATAATTTAAATTATGGTAATATGTTATGAATATTTCAGGATACAAAGTGAGTCAGAAGGGCAAAATTGGACATTATTGCTGAGAATCCTAACTTTTCGGTCACCTTGATTTTCTTGTTTTGAGTTGCACTTAAAATTGTTCCTGATAAAGGAAAAAAAAATAGTTGAACTTTAATGTTAAAATAGGCACATTGTGTTGAAAGAGAACACAAATACATAAAACATTTATGGCTTTAGAGATATCTTTTGCGTATATGGGTTATAGCATTTTGCTGAAGAAATGTCACGTAGGTCAGTATATTCAGCCTGTGCAGAATGGCCATGACAGCATGAGTCCCTTTTGCTTTGTGCTTATTGTTACAGACACAGGGAGCGTAAGTGCTCATTGGGAGCCCAGGAATACTTAACTAGAAAAGAGTGTATAAGTCTCCTTCAAACTTCAACCAACTAATGGACCCAATTTGTTTCTCGTAGCTGAACAGTCACCAAGGTTGCTTTTTATTTTTTCTCATCTCATTAAGGCACAGAAGTCTGGCGCAGGAGGGGACACACAGGCTGCTGAAGACCTTCTGCTTATCAATAAACCCCTGATGGACCTAATTAGCCTGCTTATTCAACTGGTGAGAATTTGCTTGTTTGTAAGACATTTGGAATGTTGCTGAAGTTAGAATTATTCAACTGAATTCAAGATCTTAGAGGTCTGTTTGCTAGTTTTCCATTGTTTATGAGCTCCCACCTAGTACAAAGGAAAGACTTTAACAAATTTTAAGAAATTGCAGGTCACAGTGACTTGCAGGTTACCAGTGATGTCAAAGTCTGTCCTAAGCATAGAAGTGGGATGAGGGGCAGGCTGCAGATTCTCAATTCAGATACATATGTACAGCCAAATTTTGGCCCTTTAGAATGGGCTAGTGATCACTGCATAGGGAAAGGATGTTCTTCAAAATTTGAAACAACAAGTACTGCTACCATTAGAAAATTCAGTAAATCTAAAATTAGTTTGCAGTGAGTGATGCCTTTTAATATTATTTTCTTGGGTTTGAGCCTTCTGAGTTTTTCTCAAGGGGTTAGTTTTATTTTAACATGAACCTGAGGGATTTATGAGTGGGAATGGTCCCTGGTGATCTGTAAACATCTTTGAAGTCTGTCTGTCTGAAGTCAGTCTTTTCCAGGGTTTACTAGGTGTCACAGCGCTGCATTGAGATCTCCACAGAGTGCTGTATTGTGGCCCTGACGCATCCCATCAGCTCAACCTCCATCATATTGTGCAAGAGATTTGTATTGGCTCTATGTGTAATAGCTTGTAGTAGAGGAATGCTTCTTGAGCCAGACAGGGTTTTTAGAGGCTGCCTCAGCCTTTTATTCAACATAAACCCATAAAAATGGCATGTGAGAATTTCCCTGTGACTTATCACACTATCCTTTCCAGGTTATTTCACTTAGAGGCATTTCAAATTCGCTGTGTTCTTTTCTAGACTAAAATTTTTTTTGTTTTTCATTTAAATATAGATTTTCAGATGTATTGTGGTATGAATACCTGTGGTCCTTTTACTATCTTTAGCACTGTCTGTCATCTTCTATTTTGGGGAAAAGTGTGATTCCTTTTTTATTGATTTTTGGCATTATACTTCTTGCAAAGTCCTCTTTTGATGGATTTATTTTAACCAGCTATTGACAAAGACTTTTTGGAAATGTTCACTGAATGACCTAAACCAAAGTGACTGAATTGCAACTATATAATATTTCATCTTTATAAATTCTTTTAATTTATTTTCTATTAATTTTTTTAAATCACTATATATGATAAATAGTAAGATATGAAGAGATGCAAATGTTCCTTTAAAGCGAAACTAGTCATAAATTTAAATTCCATTAATTCTCTAAAGAACAGAAAATTAGAGGCCAAACTTTACTCAGCCTATGCCACCTGGAAGTCTTTTATAAGTTTTTAATTAAAGGATAGGATAATTGTATAGTAGCATGTACTGATTAGATTCTGACTTGCCCTTGTATTTCAGAAGCATGGCTACAAATTACCGCTAGGTTTTGCTTTGTTCTTTATTTCTACAGATTCTGGTTTGTTTAAAATGCTTATTTAAAATCTGCTGATTTTAACATACGGGTAAAGAGTAAAGACCATTAGTGCTGCTTCTTTTGTTGTTTGGTTTTGAATTTTGTGAAAGATTTTGTGAAAGTGAGGGATTTTCTCTTCTAATGTGTGTGTTGTTCTTTACATACATGTGCTTGATTGGATATATGAAAGTCATTTCAGCAAGGTTTGTTAAATTTTATATCCTTTGTTCATTGCTGCATTAAACATTTCCTGTTAAGGTTGGAAGGGTTTGAAAATGGAATAATAATAATTTTAACATTTAGGATCCAGTCATTTAAAATGTTTTATGCTCTAATCTCTTTAAATAGGACTAGATTCTTTGTGAACTCTAGTGGGTGTCTCAAGATGTATATGCTCCCTGCCCTTCAAGAAGACTCAGGCCTGCCTAAGCTTAAGTTCTGTGGAGCTGCCAACAGTAGTTCTTGGTATTCATTGATCTGTGTGGCTACAAAATCCTTTACTACTGTTTGGAGGCATTCAGTTCTTTGTGAACTTTATTTTCTGGAGATAATGGAGGTTGTAAATTCTGAACTAACCATCACTTTAAGATACTGAGTCAGAAGTTTTTTCTCTGGTTTGCTATTTCTACCTATCTTACCGTATTTATAGTTTCTTATGTCACTTTGAATAATTGCTTTGCCTCATTGATATGTATATCCCTCAAGTAGATGATTGTTCCATGCCCCATTGTTTAGTCTATTTATTTTCCTCAAGTTCTACATGCTTATCTCTCTTAATAATCCCTCAAAAATCAATGTGAGTTAAACTTGAAAATGTCAAAAACTTAGAATCAATTTTTCCCTTCTGTAATGGTGATTTAGTCTATCACTTAGGGCATAGCACAGCAAGTATAGAAAACCTGGATTGCATGTAAATGAAACTTCGGAATTTTTAAGAACATGGAAGAAGAAATAATTACAAATCCTGTCACGCAGGAAACGCTGCAAATATGGAGAATTCAGTATTTAATCCCATGATCAGTCTGCCCTTAATTGATCAATAAAAGGAAAATAAATTGAGCATTTAGTTTTCTGCTTGGCAGCTTTGTGTTTAAAAGTTAATTACACTTAGCTTTTTTGTGTAATGTTTCTCTGCTTGAACATAAATGTAATTTGATTATTATGCTGCAACTTGCAGCAATTATAGAAGACCTGAAATACCTTCTACTTTTTGATGTATGTTATACTGAAAAAAAATATTAATGTTTACTTGCTTTTGAAATCACTTCAGTGTGGCTTTTCAGAAACTTTTCAGAAACTGGCAGTAACCCTGGCAGTACCTATAAGAAGGAGTTTCATTTCTCTGTAGAACCTGGATTTAGATCTTAGGTGTAGATCTTCCAGTCTTTTCTGCAGCTTACCAGATTGCTGGGAGAGAACTTTTCTTGTCTTCTGTTGGTAAGCTTCTTCATTATAGTGTTACTTGTAAAATTTGCAGTTGGTTACTGTGCTCTGTATATTACTGTTGAAAGACCAGTTAATCATGGGCAAATCTGAAGAAGACAAATAGGAAGACTCAGTGCACATGGATGAATGAGATGACCTATTCTGGGTCCTTTCTGTCTCTACATTGCTCTGGCTGTAAGGCTGTGCCCTGACTTTGGTTTCAGAACACATGAAGGTATTTGCCACTAAATAATGAAAATGACTGCAGAAGATTGATAACCCTATAGACTGCAGAATTTTATTTCACATTTCTTAGGAATAGAGACAGTTCTGTGGTCAGTGTGGAAAGATATATGTTTATTTCCTGTATTGTATGATGTATTGCTGTTACTGTATTTGAAATGTTACCTAGGAATTATATTTGAAGAATTCTCTTCTACAGAGCTACCCTAAAAAAACCAAACTAAACTAAACTACAAAAAAAAAAAACAAACAAAAGCGCACCAGAAGAAATAAGAGTATGTTGTCACAAGCACAGAATTTCAGAATGGGGATTTAGTTTCTCAGCAATTAGGCTAGATCAAAATGAACTGAAACTATATTGTTTTTTAAAATATTTTCCCTTAGGTAGGATGATGACAATTTTGCCCTAAGCCAAAATATAATATTTTATTTTTTCAATTAAAACTGTGCATATTTACTAATAAGACTAGCATAATAAAGTTGGGAGATTTAATAATGACATTTTGCTTTTATATTTTGTTTAATGTTTGCAAAATCATCTTCCCTATAGTTCCCAATGGTGTTTCATTTACAGTACATTCTGTAATCACATTACTGATCTAATGAACATCTATCTCTTATTGTAATAAACTCTCTTTGTGTATAACCTCATTAATGTACTGAAATAGTGTCCCCTCCGGGTAATCCAGACAGTTTCATTGTAGCTCTAAAATTAGATGCTGTAGCAACTCCAACAGTGTGAAAACTGCCACTTCAGCTCAGACGATCACACGTTTCTTGCAATGGTTTGCAATTCAGGAACACACTACAACTCGGTTCAAAATGAAGGCATTTTTGACAACAGACTGCAGAAATATAGATATGTAATAACAAGAAACTTCCTGCTCTTAACCACGTTAACCTTAAAATACACAGAGCAGGTTCCATCTAGAAAGGAAGAGAAGTAGAATTTTATGTTATGAGTCTGTTTACAGGAAGTTATAATATGGCCATAAAAATTAAGTAAAAAGTAATACACAATCTTCACTGCACAAAAGTTGTGTCATGAGGCATTATTTTAGAATTTTGAAGTGAAAAATAAATCTGCAGTTCTGAGTTAGAGAATGGCAAAAAATTATTACTTTAGCTGTTCAGTAATTTATATTAAGGTGCTGGATTTTCTTCAAGCTGTGCACTAGTCCAGAATATTAACAGCTGCAAGGAGAAGGACTACTAATGTTCCTACCTTGCTGAAGGGCTAAATCCATAATCCCCTCTAAGACTGATAAAGCAAAAAGAAACGAAAGGCCACTAGAGTTTTTTCATGTAATTATGAAATATTAAGGGGCAGATATTTTCTTAGTGTTAGAACTCTAGTTTTTCATGGGTTTCTCCTCCCCTGAAAGAACAAAAACTTAAGGAGCTGCTGTCATGAAAAACTATAAATGCATTTCAAAGACTTGAAATATACTTCTTCATATCAAATGGAATTGTTATGATTAGAAAAATAATCAGAACATTGTTCCAGCTGATTAAGAGGTGAACCGTCCAGCTATATTCATTGCTTAGCAACATGAATCAAGCTTTGCTGTTTTTATTAGACATGCGATACTATTTAATTGAATGCTGAATTTTCATTCCTTGGTTTTCTGTATTTACAGATATTTACTATATTTTCAGTCATTGCTTTTGTTCATACCAATAATTTTCTTCAGATCCCCTACTCTTCATAACCAGTACTAACACTGACTGGCAGCTAGTGTTAAATTTCAGGTTACCAACCTATGACTTTTGACATCTAAATCACTACTTGCCAGTAGTGAAACAGCAAAATGATGAGAGTTATAGAAAAATGCTGATGTGGACATACTTAAATAGGGACATTGCTGAGAGTTCTTCTTCCACCTTAATCATTGATGGATTAGACTGTAGGCCAATGATTCTCATCCCCTCCAAAGTAAATATGGTCTTTCCTATCCCCAGCTTGTTTTCTTATTCATCCAAGACCTATGCTGTTATTGTTTCACCCTGCAATTTTCCAGGACGAGAGCAACTTGCCCCCCAAACTCTAGATAACACTGAAGCTCAAAGGGTCTCTGGTGAAGCAGAGTAGCAGAAGAGCCTGAAGTACAACAGGGGATGAAGGACTTCATTGGCATTTGTGATTGAATAGGATGATGTCATGGCTGGCAAGTACCATGAACTCTGGAGTGGTTCCACCACCTATACTGGTGGCTAGGTTTGGAGGATGGTTGCTGAAAGCTTGATATCCTGTGAAGAGCGAGCCTATCTGATGCCAAGACATTGGACCGAGAATTTCAGGATCTTCCTTTCTCTTGTTGGGTGACAAAGAACAGCAGCAACAGTGATAAAAGGTTGGGCATGCCAGGAGGAGATAAGCAAAGCCATTGGCCCTCTTCACCTAGAGCAAAATGTTCCACTGTCTTGCTTAACTGGGGACTTCTGCTGAAGACAGCCTACCTTGGGAATAACACTTATTTGCTTCCTTGAAAGCCACGTACCCTCCTGTTGTCAGGAAGTACTGCCAAGGACATGGTGCTTTCTGTATTTCTTCATGCGAGGTTGCTGTAGGGGCAGTCCTCTACAGAAACTGACACCTTTCTGCTCCTCTGGTATTTAGTGAATATCTCAGAAAAAGACCTTGGGAACAGTCTCATTTCCAAGTATGGCTGTTGTGATTACTGATCATACATGGGATTTTGTGCTTATGGAGCCCAGGGAACTAGCCTCCACTGCAATGCCAGGGCAAGGACGTGTCTGTCCAAATGTTCGCTGATTTTTTTATTTTGTATTTTTGGTTAGCCAACAAACAATGTTTGAAAATTGAATATAGTTCTTGTAGTGTGATTTTCTTCAGGGAGTGGTCGATATACCTGTCTACACTAATCTAGTAAGAAGCTGTAAGTTGAAGTACTGCTTTTGAAAGGGATGAGAAAGAGATATGTTAAAGTAGTTTAATGCTTCCTTCTTTTATCTAATAGTCTTTTTTTTTTTTTTCAGTGAAGGAAATACAAGTTGGCTCAAAGCCCCCAGTGAGATCACTGGCTTTTTTTTTTAACTTGATAAGGATTGAAGATATAAATGGAGCTATAAACTTGTTACTATTTATAGCTTTTCCTCCTTTTTAGCCTTGCTATTTATGTTGATGAAGTTATTAGATAATTATGGATGTTGGAAAGGAAACAATCAAATAGGTGGCATTTAGATTGAAATGAAGAAAAACCATACAGCAAAACTGTGGAAGAAATAGCTGCTGTGGTCTTGTCACTTGCATAGTATTAGGTCAAATAGAATGTGATATGTCTTGGGGCTATGTATTCAGAGCTTACATCTCAGTTCAGTCTGTTTTAAACAGCCAGCTCTATGAAACTAATGGAAAACAGGATTGTATTTGCATGCACATCCCTGGGGAATTGCTGCTTGAATATCTGAGGAGTATGTGTCTGATGATATGTTCACAGATTGCTTTAAAGTAACTGTATGGGTTTTCCTTAAAATGAAAAAACTTGGGAAGTTCATACTGCAGGTTAAATAAGTAATCATTATTGAAATGGTTGGGTGTATTATATAAATGGTTGGACAGATGATAAAAATTGTTTCCTTTTTATTGCCAGTAAGGATAGTCTGTTAACTGTACTTTAATCTAGCTTCTTTGTATTTAAATAGTACTTTTGGAATTAAAAAACTGAGTAGGAGTGATGAGGTGTTTTTACACTTCTATACCTTATTGGTTAAGACCGCCGCTGGTATCTTTTGTTCAGTTCATAGATTGTAAGGCGAGAAAAGGCTATTGTAATTGTTTAGTCTAGGATCTTATATAACACAAGACATAGGACTTTTCTAAATTAACTCCTCATTGTAGAAAAGGGTTTTGTTATTTTTTAAGAAAAAAAAAATTGTGATTTATAAATTGCCTGTTATGGAGAATCTGTCTCAGTTCTAAGAAAGTTGTTTCAGCGGTTAATCGCTCTTATTAAAGAAAGAAAGAAAAAAGGAAATCAAAGTATTATCTTCCTTTTAATCTGAATTCCTTTATCTAAAGTTTTGAGCTATCATCTCTTACTGGTCCTTTTTCAGGTAAAGGAATTAACCTGTCCTCAGCCTGCTTTTTCTCAGATGTAGCCAAGAGAATATGATCAAGTGCCTTTTAACCCTTCCTTTGATAAGCTATAGACATTTAATTCCTTCAGTCCTTTCCTGTTATGTTTTCTAATCTGTCATCCTCTTGCCTGTTCCAAAGAAACCTCTATGATTTTTTTCACTAGCTTTCGTGAACTGTCTGTGCTAAAACTAGGCATTGCATTTCTGTTGTCATTCCAACAGTGCCAAATACAAGTATAATAGAATATGTCTACTCATGTTTCCAGATTGTACTTTCAAGAAAGATATAAATAATTTTTATAGTGGTGTCATACTATCAGAAGCTCATTTGAAGATGATTATTAGCCATGCTGCCAAATCTTTTCCATAATTTTGCTTCCCGGGAAAGAGTTTTTCCATCCCATTGGTAGGGCCTGCTCCAGGGTCTGCTCTTCAAAGGAGTGCAGAAAAGCTGGAATTCAGGAAAAATATTTAAAATCTACAAAATGTACCTCCTAATGTGACTACTTAAAACCCATTCAACAGCTAGATAGCCTGTACTCTGCCTCAACCAGAAGCCATAGACTTGATTTAGAAATAATTAGATGAAGTTTTATGGTGTGCATTATGTAGAATATTAGACATCATGGCTATAATGATACTTTCTGCTATTACTACTTCTATTTAAAGCAAAATATACTCTCTGAATAACAGAGTTGGGAGCAACATTTTCAGTGCTTTTATGATGTCGCTATAGATAGGCTATTTGATAGAATCATAGCAGAGACATTGTTATACTGCTGCTTAAGAACAGATATATTTTAATTATACTTTCATCACTTGATTAAGCTTAGTTTAATGGAATTTTGAGTCAATCAACTAGAAATTATTCTTTCCTGGCACAATGCAAATGTTAATACTCTTCCAAATCCCAAGTGATATGCATTTTTTCTGAAATTGGAATTTGATTTTTGTTTGTTCGATTTTTGTTCATTTTTAGCTTCCCAGTGAAGATACTGAAATATTCGTCAGTGCCTCACAGTGCTTATCATTGCTCGTTCAGCTGTATGGAGGGAACGGTCAGGAGAGTATGTCTCCAGAAAACATGGACAGTTTTGCTGAAGTACTGAAGTCCAAAAAAGATACACAACAACTGAAGCTTTTGTTGAGAATTGTAAAGAGACTGGTGAGTCGGCTTCTAAACATTTTAAAAGTCCATGTGTTTCTTTAGTATCATTGGATAAGTTTTTGGCTGTCTTTTCCTCTTAAAGTAAAAAAGAGTGTAGAAGAATTTTGAAAACAAAGTATGTGAAGTTAAATTTCATGTCTTTAAATTTCAGTTAATTTCTCTGGAGAAGATAGCCTTCTACACTTAAAACCTCTTACAAAATGATTGTTGAATTTCTCCTATTTCAGTTAACCATTCAGTTATTTAAATAACTCATGTTATTTATATATTTGTTTAGTACTTCAGCTTTATGAAGTATTGGAACAATATTCTTAATGCCTTCTGAAATAACTAACCTTATAGTGTTAAATAGCTGTTCAGAAACACAGTGCTTGATTTCACGGTAAATAAAATGCCATTTTGTACTTGAAACAGGTTTGTGCGTAGACTATTGACTCCTCATTCTCACCAAGCGATAGGGACCACTTCTGCTGGAGTGGTTGTACTGTAGAATGCCAATCAGTGGGAGTCGTGCAGGGATTTAGTCTGGTGATATTATTGACAGGTAGCAGTTTCAGTTCTGTCATGCTCTGACATGGTGGCATGAGAGCAGCATTATGTCTTTCAAGTAGCTTAGGTGGAAAACCTTCTGTATCAGTAACATTCTCTCGGATAATACGAAGTTTTTTATCTTTAAGCGTCTTGATAAGAAGTTTGCCTGCATTGTCACCTTGTGTTGGTTGATTGCTTCACCCTTTACTCTCCAAGAGCAAGAGTTTTCAATTAAAAGAGGGTAACTTCCCCAGTGTAAGAGGCAGAAGACACTTGAATTTTGCAAGTGCAGTGCTGTCTACTAGGGTAAGGCTATAATCAATGGCAGCAGGAGTTAAGAGGAAGTAACTCTTTTGTATAGCTCTCAGAGCTGTTCCTATCCTCTTTCTCCTGCCTACTGTATTTACATCATAGGAAAGTAAACGCCATACCCTTTTTCCCAGTTATTCTCAGTCCTATCTTTCCCTAAAAGAAGCACAAATACATAAAATCAAAATTGATATGATGTTTAAAATTCATAATTTTGCTCATTCTTGACATCATCTCAGGTTTCACTCCTTTATTTTCTCATGCTCTTCCTGAAAAGAGAATTCTAGCAAAGATTTTTTTAAAGACACTTCCTATTGATTTTTGCTTGTACCTCTGCTTCTCTTTCTGTGTAACTGTTGTGCTGTGTAGAACTGGCTTTTGCTTCTCCCCAAAAGCAGTGAGAGAAAAGAGGCAACAGTGTGAGGAAAGGAAAGAGAAATGAGGCTGCAATATACATATCCAGCTTATTTAATTTTAGCATTAGCTACAGTCTTATTTCCTTTCCCTCCATTTTGAAGACTATGGTTCAAAAGTTGACCCAGTGTGCGGGATATTTAACACAGAAACTTCTGTTGACTATCTTAAGAGAACAAAGCTATGCTATCACCTTTTGAATCTTGCAAGTTCCTGTACTTTTAGATCTCTCCTTCGTATACCAGTGATACTGGTACTTGTTATTTATAATATCAGGCATAGATTTTCTGTAATTATTTTAATGAGACCATAGGATTTCTTTTGAAAGCAGGGTTCATAGATAATTTGACAGATTATTTAATAAATCTTACATTATTTCTTGAAATCTTAAAAAGTCCTGTTCAAAGGAGATGATTATCTTGTCAAAATTGTCGTAATCACAAAAGACATTGAAATATAATCATATCTATTTAAGAAGGATTCAGCCCACATCAGCTGTTCATGCTGAATTTTGAAGCCTAGAGCAGTGTTTTTCTTTTTTTAATATCTGAGCAATATTATAATAGAGGGATCATTAAATGCACCAATTTCCGTTCTTGCCAATCAGTGCTTGTACAGAGAATCTTTCCAATCTGTGGTTACATTAACTTCGTTGTTACAGGTACAGGTATTGCTTACACAAGACAGGAATGTACAAAAAGAATTCAATGTGTTTATGCTATAGATGCCTTTATAGCATGTATTTCTGGAAATAAGGAAAAGGCATAGCAGTATGACTAGTTATTTTTGTCCAAGTGTTTCATATGACTCCAGTGAGCCAATGCAGACAGATGTCTTGATTTCAGTCTTCAGTTTAAGGCATGTCAGAGAATTGTTGATGTACAAGATGACCTTACCTTGATGAAGTGGAAACTTATATCTATGTCTTGTTTTAATTTAATAGTATTCATTCATTAAGTTTTATCTCCAGTGGGTGGAGGGGTTTTTTGGACAAAGTTGGAGGTTTGTTTTGAGTTTCTTTTTTTTAAATGGTCATTGTCAACTTTGACCAGCAAATTGACTGCAGGGCAATATAAACTTCTTGCAACACTTTCTTCACTGTTTTTTTCCCTACAATTTTGTTGTATTCATTTATTAAACAGAAATAAAGATATAGGCCAGACGGGGGGGGGGGGATCTTCGTCAAGAATTATTAATGGAATCGCCATGAACAGCCCTTTTTACAGGCTTTATTTTGCTCTTAAAAGAAATCATTAGGAGTGAAAACCAGAAAAAATATGCTTTGAGCTAACTTTTGTAACTGTGTAAGGATCATTTAAAAGCTTTAAAGAGGCAGCATTGACTGTCGTCTTTCTGTTTTTTTATAATCACCTCTTAACTTTCAAAGCTTTTGGCTCTGTCAAGCCCAGGTTAGCCAGTCTTTTTCAAGCATATTCTCTCACTGGCATTGATATAATGGACAGAACCTAAATAAAATTACTGAATCAAAGAAACAGGGTTTGGTTTGGGGCGGGGGTGGTGGTGTTTTTTTTCCCCTTCAGCCCTTTTATTAACTCTCTTGTTCTGGTTGTTTTGTCTTGGGTTAGACAATACTGCTATTCGGATATTCTTCATCTTTTTTAGCAGCATTTATGTAACCAATCAGTGACGTCAGGAGAGTGATCTTGTCCCATTTGGGGGTTCTGGAAGCTTCTACCACTCTTCATGGAAATCACTATCTTATCACTTCATCCGTTCTGGGAAGATATAGTGCATCTTATTACAGCCCATTAAATCATCTAGATTGAAGTATTTCTTTATGAAGTGGAAGAAATTTTCATTTGGGAAGCAAATAGTTCAATTTTTGCCTGCTTTACTGAGAAGTTTTTCATTTCTCTTTTTCCCTAGAGGAAAGAAATCTACCTGCGATCTCAATTTAGCATCTAGTATGTAATGTAAAGGCAAGTGATTACCACCGTAATTTTTATCGAGCTAGCCCATATCTTTCCACTGGACATATAATCACTGTGGGGTTACAGCTGGGTACTCACAAATAAAATGTTTCAGCTTTCAAATCAAGAGGAGACTCTTTTTTATTCCATCTAGTAATAAGGAAAAATTCCTCTGAGAAAAATGCGTAAGCGTCAGGCTTTAACAGGCAATTCTGCACTCACTGTGGAGAGTGAACTTTTGTTCTGTGACTTTTACCTTAAGTACTTGTCAGAAAGTATATTTTAATTCTACCTAAATCACACTTTTTTCTTCTGATAGTCTTTCTAGAACCTCATTTTCACTACTTTGCTTATCATAACTGTCAAAAAGTTGTTCGTCCTTTATTTGTGATCAACCAAGACATTTAGGACGTCATCTGCATGTCATATACCCTGTGGGGATACATATAAGGATTTCTCAAATTGTATTAGGCTGCATAGTAAAGATGTTAAGGGTAGAATGACAATACTTGAGCTGTGGCAAAGGTCCATAACTTTCATTAATTTCATTGCAGGACTATTGAATGCTAATTTGCTTTCCCTGCCAGTTTGGGCCACAGCAGTGGCATCACTGTGTACCTGCGAGCAGATTTACTACCCTGTGTCCAATGAACCAAAGCCTGGGGAACCACTGGTCACTATGGCTGAAATACCATTCAAGTCATGTGTCCCTAAGGATTTCTGTCATGTCGATTAGTAATTATATCATCCTGAGTTTTATACAGAGATGTGCTGAGTTCATATCCCTTGAATTGACAGCTGTGTGTTTGTATATTAAAATATATGTATATATTTTTACTGTGATAGTTCCCAGTTTAGGTCCTCATTATATTAATCATTGATCATCCATTATGGGGAAAGACATTTAGAGCTTGAAGAGTTATACAGTCCGAGTAGCACAAATGTTTGATTTAGGGTAGCAGTTCTGCAATCCGTCTGTAAGTCAAAATTCTTGCTGGAGATTTGCTCCTCAATAGATTCCCACAAGTACATCTACAGGGAGCTTCCCTCAAAGAAGGTGAAGCAAAATCCCAAGAGATATTCCGACAGCATCCCTTTCACGGCTTCAGCTCCGAGAATTCAGAGCCACAAGGAGGTGCTTGTGCAGCAATTCCCAGCGGAGTCTCCTTTCCCGGAGTCTTACAAAGCTGTGGGAAGCTGTTGGCATATCTCCTGCTGCAAGAGCACAGCACTCAAATAGTCTCAATTAGCTGGAGAAAAACTTCTTATGCATCTTTCTCCTAATCTGAAGCTTTTAAGTGTGCCTTTAATTAATTTCATTAATTACTAAGGTAATCCATAGTAGTCCATCGCTTAAAGAAATGATTTTATAACAGAGATGCTTGTTAGACTGTGAATACAATACTCGCTTATGGGTTGCTGACATGTATAGGTATACTCACTGTAAATGCACAGTTGTTATATGTGTTTTCCTTAAATTATGCATCTTTTTAAAATCAGGATGACTCTTACATGAACAATTTCTATCCATTAGTGCTAATCTTTTATTTTCAAGTTGTTACCAAGCCTGCATCCATTTTTTATTGACCATCTTTTGTTGGCTTCAGTCTAATAGAATAATGTCCTCAGGTAGGATGGAGCATTTCATTAGACACAAACAACTTAAGATCCCCCAAGAAGAAAAAGCTAATCAACATTAAGATACATCATGCAGATCATAAACAGGATGGGTTTCTCAAAATGCTTTGAAGCAAATACATGGGAAAGATGACGTCTCTTCACCCTTGCCGCCATGTGGGGAAGCTCCCTCTG